TATTTCTGAGGCTCGGAATACAGGATAAAACACAAATTTCATAAAATTCAATATGGATATTAACGAAAACAAGGTAAAGAAATGGGTTTTATGAAGCAGAAATAATTATTTTGATTGTTTGATTTGTCAACAGAAGAGAAATCAGTGGTATATTTGTAAATCATCTATAGGTATTGATATAACAGTAAAATTCAGAGAGTCAAGCCGTGGATAAGGAAATGGTTTGATCAATGTTTCTGCTTGTTTCATTTACATATTGATCAAATGATTTAACCATTGCCTTCTGGCTATGATAAGTGGATTCACCAAATATTTTGTTCATATTTGTATTGTTAAGGCAAGCATTCATGCAGGGCTTACTGTGTTGGGGTTAATTAATTGTGAGAAGCTAAGGGTTAAATTGTGTTCTTTTTTATCAATATAAGGCCAGAAGGAAATTGTACGAAAGGTTAATCACAAAGAAAATTCTTTCATAAAAAAAAAAAAAAACATTAAAGATTTTTATGTGCGGTATTTAGGTAGGTTCAGAGAGTGTTTCAACAAAGATACTTTCATGTACTGCTGGTAAATACATGAGTTTCAATACATTGTGGTTTCTTTCATATTAAGGATCTTCACACAAAGGGAATGGATGAATGTGTGTGCATTGTGCGTTTTGAATTTGACTTTTTATTTAATAAAACAGCTTAGTTTTATTGAAGAGCTTGCTTTTAAGTATTAGTGAAACTCTTAGAGATCTGAGTAGCTGTTAGATTATCTCCCCTGACCAGTAACATTTTCGCCCTTTTTGTCCCAGTTGTAATTAGACTGATTCATTAGGCAGTCAATGAGGGCACCTTGCCTCTTTGAGCTCCACATTTTCCTTAATGGTCAAGTCTTTCTGGTCTAATGGCCCTGAAGAACCAAAGACCCAGACATCTGGAATAATTGTATTTGGACAATTGGAAATTCAGCAGACACAAGGTCAGATTGTTACAGTTAATAGTGCAGGAAACGCCATGTACTTGTCTCGTCAAGAGGTTTTCTTAATTCAAGGGTATGATAGAAGTACATATAGAAGAGGAACTGGGACACACCTTTGATTGCTTCATGGGAAAATATTTTTAACTTTCTGTAAAGAATCATGCAAGTGAAAGTTGAAAGGACCTTAAAAATGTGTTTGTTTTATTTTATCTTTCTTATCTAAATCTTTGAAAAACATAACTGTTTGTGGAACAAGAAAGTTTAATGTATTAAAGAACATTAAATTTCAAAGAAAAACAAAGTTGAACAAAACTGATTTTTTCAGCAAAAAGAGGTTAATGACTCGATCAGTATATTTTTGTGTGAATAATTAATATACTGGAGTATAGGGTACAAAGGTTGTGTAATTTCCATTCATGAATGTTGCAGATGATGGAGGGTTTCTAAAACTGAACTCTGTCTTCTTCATATTGAATATTAACTCTGGTTCTGTACCACACTGAGCTGATTCAGACTAAGGTGTCCGTGGGTCTGTTGACTGTTGAGATCAGTATATATTGCTGACTTGGTATTTCCGCAGTGTGAAGCCTGAGTCCTTGTATCGTGATGTGGGAAATTTTGCAGGCCTTACTGTCAAACTCTCTAAGAGAAGATAATTGTGATTGAGTACGAGTCTTATCTTCCCGATCACGTAAGAGTCCCGACTTCTATCTAAATTGATGAATTCTGTTGCCAGGTAATAAGTGGAGTTCTCCATCCTGTAGTCATGCACACTCTGTGTGTTTTTTGATAATGTTCAGAACAAAAGTTAATACTGCTTTGTTTAATATCTCAGATTTGTGCAGTACATAGGCTTAGAATGCTACTTGCTATTCATTGAGCATTGCCACATTAAGGGTTACTTTAAGCCCATTTTGTTACTGTTCAGTCAAATTTATTTTTGATTTTATAGTAAAATGTAAATATGACTTTGACTAGCAAAACAGACTAGTAATTGTAAGCATCACCACAAAGTTTCATGAAATACTCAGTGTGCTACATCAATTCTTATTATACTTTATGTTACTATGACAATTAAAATCTCTGCAGATAAAAATCCCACAGTAGGCTCCGTTGTTCTAATGAAAGCTCTTTAGCCAAAAATTGAAAAATGAAGGCTTATTATTTTCTTAAGTGAATCAAGACCTGTCATTAGAGAGGAATGTTAGAGCGATATGCTATCATAGACTGACATCTTGGTCCGTTTTATGTTCCCCGAGTGTTGTCGTAATTGACCCTGTATGACCCTCACCGAACTAGAGCAAGAGTGATCAGTAAGATATTAATTAGCATAATGGATTACTTAGTGATGAAAATGTGGCCATTTATTTTTGCATATTTTACCAGATAATTTAATTCTTCCTATTCTGGAAAACAGCAGTTAAATTTATGATAATTTTGTATAATGTTTCAGGTTTGGCTTAATTTACAAAACATTTGTACAATTCAAAGTTTTTTATGAGGAAGACACCTACTATAGTTCTTTGACTTATGCTTCAAACTTAAAGTAAGAAGACTATTTCTGTAATTTAATACATGAAGTCTGTGTGATTTCAGTCATGTCCTGTTTGTTTGTAAAACTGTAGAAATCTAATGCTTCCTCTGTCCTGCATGAATAAGATTCAACAATTGGCATAACTTTCATGCAACAACAGAATGATATACATGTAGTTCTGTCATATAGAAGTTTCAGGCACTCTGATAGGAATACATGTATTAGGTATTTGGATAAACTAATTGTTTCCTCAAACATGCACTGATCTACATTAAGGAAATTACAGTGTTATAAAATGGTGAACTCTAGATCAAAAAAGTTCATACATGGTCTAGCAGTTATGTTTGGTTATAAATTTAAATCCACTTAACTTCCCCAAAGTGTGATCAGAGTAAGACTGGATATCGTCCAATTTCTGTAAATCTAATTCCAGTTACCCCTATAGATTACACAAGCCTATTGAAGACTTAATCCTGTGCATTTCTTACTAGTCTTGTTTGCTTTTTACCATTACATGTGAACTCTGTGTTAAATTCTATATTTGGATGCAATCAGTTTTGGTCCCAATACCCGATTGTGAGGGTAAGATCTTTGTTAATTTATGCTATGCGAGTCCTTTTTCTAATTTTACAAACTCAGTGATGCAGTATGGTACATTTTAACAATTATTATCATTAATATCACTGTTATCGTCGGAACCCCCAGTTTTTCTCTCCGTTACATTACATTGGTTGAATGTAGCGTAACGGAGAAAAAACCTGTGGGTTCCGATGATGTATCGAAGGATGAAGTTAAAAGTGAATTTTGTAAAAAGAGGTGCAGACTTACTCTGAGAATCTTTTCAAATTTACATCAAATGTTACTAATGTACAGACATCAATGCATTGATGCAGAAACTCACTGAAATATTCATATGGTTTGATTTTCTGGTAATAAGATTAGACATTTTCTTACATCACAGGAAAAAGATCAATATAAAAAGCTTCGTGACACAAACAGTTTTATTAAATGGCCTGTCTAGCAGGGAACCCCCTTTATAATGATTGGACAAATTTCTTATCATGAATAATGTATGACAACAGGTGCTCGGAGAAAGGGACAAATCTGCATTTCAGGGGTAGGTCACGATTTCCCGACTCTGATTACTCACCCCTTTATCTTTATGGCTACTATTTAGAAATGCTCCAAGTTGTTTGTCAAGGAGAGTTTAGTATCCACCTTATAGTTATGTACAAGGTCTACAAGGGGAGGTAACTTGATCCAAGGGACCATGGACATGAAAGAATAAATGAGTTGTTCATTCCTTTTGATGTTATTTTATTGATCATTGTGGTACTGCTAAAAACCTGTCTTTTTTATTTTAATATCCCTGGCCATTAGGTTGCCATAACAACCGTTCCTCAGGTAGAAAACTTTGTCTTTATGTATTAATGGATATAGCATAGTATAACTGAGCAAACTTAGGTGGATTTTAAGTTTCATGCATGGTGATGGTCATCCTCTCTACGATTGATATATCAATATCATTTGCTCTTCACTCCTCAACAAATTCCATTATAATAATAAAAATTAATAAAAGTATATGACCTTATCTTTTGTGCCCATTCTTACACAGATTTAATCAAATTAAAGCTCCTTCATTTCAAATTTTATGTACCTGTTTACATTTCATTTTATGAACTTGAGAATGAAATTAAAAACCACTGACAATGAAAATTTAGAAGCTTGCAAGTGGGTGGAGAAAGTGTTTCTTTACACAGTTACAGTAAATCACTGTTTACAGTAATTATGTAGAAATAAATACTTAGGGTTGAGCGTTCAGTGTTCAGGGGAGTATATAACATACATTTCTATCTACAGATCAAACATTAGAAGCCAAGACAAGTAACTACTGTAACAGTGAAGCTTGATTACCCCACCACTGTTTTAGTACACTTTCTATCTTTGTTCAACATTTCAGATTTTTTTTTCTCTCTAAAGGTAAAATTGTTTTTTATGGTCATCATCTGGTTCTAATCAAATTTCACATTAGCAAAAGAAATAAAGAGACCTTTATGTGGATTGTCTGGTCCCCCGTACATCAAGAAAACATTGAGACAACATGATAATATCTATAACATTCAATTTCATGGTTCAACAGAAGCAGGCCTCAACATTACATAGCGTTTTCTTTTGTTTACTTCTATTTTCACTATAGGAGTAGTTTAACCAGAGCTCTGATGGTCGTGTTGTCTGGATTGATTTTTCAGTATTTCTAGTTTTTATTGTGAAAGTTATCTACGTCATAGTGTAATAAATGGGGTGTGCGTCCTTGTCTTTATGAAAATCTGCACTCAAAATTACGTGATTTCTGATCTGGAGGATATTAAATATTGATTCTGCGTAACATAGTGAGCCTGTCTGATGTGATCTCGGACTGTTTTATGCTTTGATATTTCAGTGAAGGGAATCCTTAGCAAGATGGTTTGAAGTAATATGTCTTGTTTGTCTTTTCTATTTTCAGCTTGAGGAAGAAACGGGCATGTTGAAAGATCAGCTTATTGAGGCCAAGAAAATGATCCAGGGTCTGCAGGCAGAACTGGTGAAGACAAAGGCCCACAGTAACTACACAGTGACCACTCTGAAGTGTCAGCTCAAGAAAAGTCAGGAGGCACAGCGAGCCCAGCAATGTCAGTCAGACAGACAGATGGGCGAAGTGCTAGCACACTTACTCTTTCTGGAAGGACAATTAAAGAAAGATAAAACTCACATAAAACATCTCCTTAAACAAAAAGATGACATCATTCAAAAACAGAAACTTGACATTGAGGATTTAAAAAATACAAACCAGAGGTTGATAGAGGCAGTGAGAGAACATTATTCAAGAAAAGGGAAAAATGGACTGTCCAGGGAGCACCATGACACCATACAAGGCGCTGATGCTGAGGTGCCTGGTAGTCCGAAAGTGAAAGAAAAAGTGAAAAACAAAGGTGCATTTGGTTCAATGAAAGACATTTTGTGGAAACATCGAAGCAGCTTAGATCTCTCAGAGGCGGGCATGGAAATTCAGGGAAATCTAAAGAAAGGTAGGCAGTACAGCAGCCAAGAAAATCTGTTTTCATTGGGTAGAAAAAACAAAGAGGCTAGAGAAAATAGGGACAAAAAGTGTAAAAGCATCGCGGGCTATCCTGATCATTCCTTGGACTACCTTATTCCGGAGGAGTCGGAACTGCGAGATATTTCTTTACATGGAAGTAATTCGTCAATAACAAAGAATCAGAGAAGTGGTCGAAATGTCAGCTGGGGTAGTGATAATTGTGACGTAAATATTTCTTATGACGACAGTGGCCATCTTATGGCAACATCACCAAGTCAAATGATGTCGGCAGGTTCAATGCCAGCACTGAATAAAAATTCAAACTTGGAATTAGTGACTAAAGATCGCCCCCACTCAATATCTAGCATTGAGAGCTTGTCACGGGAGAACTGTTCCTCAATTCCTGGTACACCAAAAATGGAGGAGAAAGTTCCTCACACAGTGTCGCAGGAGTCATCTAATCCATTCAAAAACCTCAAAACTATCCTCAAAAGGAAGGGGAGTAAAAATAAGAACAAGAAGCGCACGGTTTCCTTGTCTCAGAGTGCCAAACCTGAATACGAGGAAGCCATGAAAAAACATTTTGAAAAGTACGAAATGTCGTGATTCGGTGAAAGGATACTTCTACAGGATTATTGCGTCTTGTTCTCACTTCTGAAATTTAGTCTAGTCTACCATAGGAAGTTTCCAAATATTATGTGCATTAGATAAAAAATTTCTGGAATATCTAGTTGAAAAATTCATCTTACATTTTCAAGGTCAGGAGAGTTTGTGTCGCGTATACAATTGCATGCATTCAATTCCAGTAAAAATGATAGTGAAGAAGATATCAGAATTTCCTTTTTAAAGAAGTGGAGCTTTATCCTTCAAAAGGTCCAAAATAGACTACTGATGTGTCTGGCTACAGATATTTATACATTGAACAAAGTACATGTATTTATGATTTCCTCATAAGCTCTCCATTACTCAGTAGAGTTTTCTGTGTCCATGTAATTTTTATGACAATACACAGATGTACAATATGTCATTATTTTCTGAATTATATACATATTGACTACTGGTACTGTTAAAAAAAGATATTTTCTTCCTTTTTTTGTGAGCTCATTTTTTTTTACTTTCAATTTTCTTTTCTTTTTAAAGGTGTTAAACTTATGTACTTTAAACACCTCCATAAGGGATATGACTCAATTTGTTTGATATTATATTAAATACAGGCCTTGGCACAAAGCTGTTTGTATTTACACAAACTTTACAGAATATATGTATGTTTATCAACTTTTAATGTTATAAATTTAATTTCAGTTAAATATTTAAAGCCAGAAAGCCCTTTTAAACTCCTTCAACCTGTTAATCCTACCTACACGTTTACTTACATTTGACATTTTAAATAAAGGTATCTATCTCTTTGACAGTTTAAACCATTTTAAACTTCTTATGAATGTTAAATGTGTACTTTGAATTTTTTTCTCTCAATATTGTTGCAATTTATAAATGTATTCATTCGGAATTATGTACTTTTAAGAATTATTAATTACTAACAAAACAGTTTCTAAAAGTTTGTTGTTTTTTTTTTTTGAAAAATGAACTACATACGATGAAAAGCTAGTGATACTTCCCAGTAACACAATAAGGAAACTCGTGTAAAAAATAATTTCCTGTCCATTTCGAGCAATATCTTCCTTTGTTACCCAACTAAACTGTGCCTAGTAACCTCTCTGACAAACATACATATCACTTCGTCAATTTTCTGTCATTAATTAAAACTGAATCTCAAAGGTATGGTAAACAGCAGCTATAACCACCTGTTGGTTTAGATCCTTTTTTGCAAATTGATGTATTTTACAATTAAATTGTAAGAAAATTAATGAAACTCATGTCAGTAAAAGAGATGCAAGGTTGTTTAAGTATATTTTGTTTAATGCATGCTTTAATTTGTAAAGACACCATATACTTTCAGAAATATATCCCAAGATCAAGATGTATTTGGTGAAGGTATTTCTGTGTTTAGGTTCTATACGTGAATCTAGATGACTCTGAACCAGTAAGGTGCTAGTATTAACGGCTAAAGTGAACGTCACATTGTTTTGTTGATTGTTTTTTATGCCTGTTTTGTTTTTTTCTGTTACTGAGCTTATTAGTGCCTGCACATGATTTTGCTGTGAAATATTTTGTACAGTTTTAACATGCATAATGAACTCATGCATACATAAACCAGATTCTCTTTTTTACCCGTGTTTTGTTTCCTTGTCTGGACCTATTCAGCACCGCTACTCAGAAAACCCAAGAAGTACTTGAAATGCAAGCTTCTAATTGAATCATGAAAATGGGAAATGTATAATTTTTGTGAATTAGCAAGTACTTTGTTCCCATGCACATCTAATACATTTTAGAAGTTTTGAGTCCCTCCTTCCACTTCATCACTGATCAGGCCCTTTACTTGGAAGTACAGCTTTACTAATAATGTACTATCAAATAAACAGCTTTTCAAATCTTACAGTTCTAAAATCAGTGAATAGTTTGAGCATTATCAGCCTTTTTTCACCCCGCATTTTTTAGATTTAAAATCAGGGACGTAAATACCAGCATTGGAAATCTTGAGATGAGTAATTCCACAAGTTCTTGTAAAGTATTCAAATAATTTAGGAACACAAACTTCCTGTATCTTGAAACTTTCCAGAGGTATTTCAAAGTGCATCATTGAAACTTTTTATATGCATTTCCATACACCATTAACTCCCTTTGTTGAGCTGGTAGTTCAGCTCTATCCAGCTGCTTTCAGCTCCATGAAAACTGTGAACTCATCATTGATTATTGATACATAAAAACGAAAATACTGTAATAAACCTAATAGCTATAAATGTGATACAAGGCATACATATAAGCTATATTATCTGTTAACAATTTTTTTGCAATATAATTAATGAAGTCCTGTCAAGAAAATGTCCACATATATATTCAATAAGTGTAGTTTTTTCGTTTGTTACAGTAACATATTTGTCCTAAAAGTAAACAGTAGTGTTGTTTGTGTAGATACCACAAAAACACCTTTTTTTTGTAGGTGCACCTAAGTGTCTTCTGACTACACGATGAAATGCCTCTCATTCAGAGCCTGTTAATATATGTCTCATACATTAGACATTATAGGCCCATATATGGGAATAATTTTAAAGCGACTTCTCCAAGATTTGGCAAGATTCACACATTTGTAAACTTTATGAAACATGGTTAGACTTGATACCTTTTTGATAGCTTTTATGAAGAATGTAAATTCTTCTTAAATATTTTACAATAATTTGTCTAAACTTAAAAAATCTAACATAAAAAACGATTTTTTTCTCCCATGAACTTGCACTATATATATATATATATATATATATACATACACCAATATGCTATAGGAATGCAAAGTAAATGCTGTTGATTTTTCCCCTAAAAAATTAGAAATTCATCAGGAAGAGAATATACCATTGCACTCGCTAAAAGAAAAACCAACTTGCCAGTTCTACTTTCTGACAGGTTCAAGGGGGACAAGACAACGTTCATGAATTAAACATTCTATTACAGGAACGAGAATAAGAGGTCCTGTCTAATGTCAAATTATGTAGTGTCAAAAACAATTATCAAGCAACTGCAGTAAAGCATTTAATATTAGACTAAACCTTCCTTGTAGAATATACCAACAAAATTGGCACATTTCCCTGGCAACGAGTAAGTTTCATTTATTATCAAAATAAATGGATTTACCTGTGATTGGTTGTTGTTTAAGTAGGAGTCGTTAATTTTATCAAAGTAAATTACTGTGCACACAAAATGACAGTATACACCTGTATTTATCAAACGAATGTTTTAATTACATAAACGTGAACTATCGCTCACTAGAGGTGTGGCGAATTTACAACCAATTCACTGCCTCGCTGAAAAACATTAATTAACCCTAACCTTTTCCTTAAATCAACGAAACCACAAAATATACATATCACACAAAACTCGCATCTCAGTACAAGTATTCTCATTAGTGTGAATTTCCACCATTTTTGATTTTTTTTTCCTTCTTGGGAGCGCTGCATCAAGGGTGGGACTGGAAATAAAGGGAAATAACTTGTAGCCTCATTAATCCCTGTGATACCTAGTAAACCTCATCACTCATTCCTAATCTATACATCAGTCTCTGCTTATGTTAATCAGTCAGGTGATTGATAGTCAAAAGATGACAATTTGTTATTTTTTTACTAGCATGAAAATTGTCAGATAATGTACTTGTACCAATAATTCCATTATATAGCTGGGGGTTCTTTTGTTTGAACCCTTATGCATAACTGTGGCCTTAAATTGCCTATTTTATTTTTTAAAATTTACCTACACCTGGAAAAGATATCTGTTGCAAACTTTGAGAAACACCATATTTGCTTAGTCTATAAGAAAGAACATGGTATGGCCAAAATAAACTTCTGTTTTTATTTTTTCTTTCAAAGTAAGACATCCAGTGCATAAACCACAAGGAGAGATATAAGATACTGGTATATGTGGAAAAGATGTCAGATACCGATATTTGTGGAAAGATATCAAATAAAGTTAAATGTTGTATGGTATCAAATATGTAAAATGTCTTATGATATTGAATATGTAAAATGGAACAGTATAAATGGGACAAGGTACCAAATGTATATGTCAGATATTTAGTCAATCATCCTTAACTTCCACTGGTAGGCTATGAAATGGATGATATTTTAAATATTTGATTGATGAAGATATTCAATATTTCATTAGATGGGCAAGATATTTTAAATAATTGATCAATGGGGCACAATACCAAATATTTAATTAATGGTGTTGAGATTTATACTGAATTTCAGGGTTATATTTTACAATCGACCGAGTTATTTCCCATTTCCATTTCACATACAGAGTGGTTTTGTGTGTGCGTATATGCCCCCAACATCCAAGAATGAACAAACAATTCAAATGAGTCATAAATCTATTTTATAACAAATAAATTGCAACATCTATAAATCTTCTTCCAAGTTTTTAATTTTCCAACCTTTTCTTATACTTTTCTAAATTTGCACAACTCTGTACAATTCAGTATACAATGTCTGACCACTGTGATAAATACATTCACTATATGTGTCAGCATCACACAAATGCCCTCGCCAATTTTTAAGTTCTGAGTATTTAAAAGTCTATGAATCTGAAAATAATAATGGGTGAAAAAGAAACAGAAACAAAATATCATATTGTTCATTGTATTTTCTTGCATCAGTTGTCAGTACCACAACTTATTTTAAGAGAAGAAAGTCAGGAAAACACTGAATTTTTAGAGATTTTTAGAACTCCGGTGAGAATCGGTGAAACTCAAACTAAAAAACCAGCTGATTATCTACTAGCTGCAATAATGTAGCCCTCTCCAATTTTTTCTTTTGGGAGATGGCTATAACTTCATAGGATCTCCATAGTAATGCAAGTGCGGGAGTAATTCACTCATGCACAGACTTTGGCTCAAATTATCAGTAAGTGGCTATTTTATTAACATTTCTTACATGAACTCAAAAAATGTAGTTATGCAAGACATGAACTGATATAGAATAATCCACATAGGTTATTTTTTTGTGAATGACAACATCACAACTTGAATTTATCCGCCATGTTTACTGACCTTGATCGATTTAAGTTTGCGACAACCAATGAGAATTTGGGATCTAGGGAGCAGATCTATAAAGGAGTTCCCTTATTTTAAGCATAAATATCACTGTTTATGATAAAAATATTACATGCTTTTATTTATCAATGCTTGATGAAACCATACACCATGTCCGTTTATGAACACCAACATTTACTTGATCAAGCCTTTCTAAATTTCAAGTGCAAGTTTCAATACATCTCACAAACTGTCATGGCTGCTGAGGAAGATAATCAACTGGTAAACATGTAGTTTTATTTTACATGGTTTAACTGTATAAGGGCTAGGTTGTTGATAGTGAATAAGAATTACATCTTTACATAGGAAGTAATTGAATGCAAAAGCAATTTATTTTGCCTGCAGTCATCCGTATCTAAAAAACTATATTTGCACCATTACAGAGATCCTGTGGAACTGTAGCACTCTCCTGAAAATATCAGATAAAAAAAAATCGGAGAGGGTTACAATTGCAGCTGATTATCTAATGCAAAGCAAAAAAAACTATGACAGATGGAAAAGGGTAACACTAAATGCCCTGATCATTTTATGGCAAGGGCATGATTACTGCTGTTGCTGAATTCTATGATTTCAGTTTGAAATGACATAAATGAAATAGTAACTAGAATGCTTCAAAATTGTATGAGAAGTGCTGCAGCTGTATGGGAGAGTATTTTCATTGAATTGACCACTTTTTTCCTTCCTGACCTACATAGGTGTAGGTGTGGACAGACAAACTGACAGTCCTAAAGGGGAGCGGGGGTGGGCACACTCATCAGTGGCGAGTCCAGCTGTTCTTGCGGAGTAGCGGGACTTGGTTGATAAGCATTTATTTTCTCCGTCAGTTGATGATATGTAGTGTGAACAAAGTCACTATGCTGTAAAATCAAAATGAAAAATAAACTAGGCATGTATTGAATATTCACAGTACAATTTATGACCACCACCAAAACAAAATTTCTCTTCAAAGAATATATTAGCGGCAGGCCTGACCAATGAATACAGACAAAAACAGATCTGCACTAAATCAAATTTCTAGTAACTCAAGTATCCTATAAGTATTATATCCATAGAGAGATATCCAAAAGCTTCTCTCATGTGGAGCCAAGAAACCGGCTTGATAGAGAACACAACAATCACCTCATTGTTTGGCACAGTGCTGTCCAGTACAGCCTGTAGACGACCAGATGGCACCTTTGGATGGATGTACCATAACAGACGAAGAAGATGACGCAGAACATTTTCTCTTGATATACCAGGCTGCAGGAACAAATATTACACAGCTGTGAAAATTTTATACATTTTTATAAACTAAAAATTAAAACACATTTAACAATGTATATTTGAAACTAGGTAATCAAAGATTACAAAGGACACCTCAACAAATGCTATCTACAGGTCATCCCAATATCCCATATCAAAGAATGCTTGATATAATGCATCAGCTAATTTCATCCTTACAGTGTTTTGGTTACACTTAAACTCTTTAAGACAAATTTTACCAAAAGAAAATCATCAAAGACAACACTGCAGAAGTCATCGTGAGCAAATTCTTCGGACATGGCGATGAGGAATGAAATGAGAGAGTGGAGGAATGTGTCCTCGTACGCTCGCTCATTCTCGCAGTGGACGAGGACAGGGATGATGTTACAGGCAGCTGTTCTGTCCTTCATTCTGGTCACCTGTTCATATAAAGTTTGGACTTGTGTATAAACCATTATTGTAAGGGAAGTAACTCTATCAAATGACACCCTTTGCAAAAACTAATAGCAAAAGGAAAGTAACTCTATCAAAAGGAAGATTTTTTTTCAGCTTTTACACTTCAAATTTGAATCTTGGGCAAGGATTTATGTCTGAATGAAAAAAATTTCACGAGCCTACAAAACCAACACTCTCAGAGAACTATGAAAATTCAATTTAATTTGACATACATAATTTAAAAACATTACTGGGAGTAGTACAGCTGAACTCATGAATGGGATAACATTTCAGGGAAATTGACCTCTTTAGAATAATTTCAACATTTGAGATCAATTCACTTCAGATTTTTCAAATGTTTGCAATTTAATTAATGGTTAGCAATCTAACAGCAAAACATATGTACTATCACATCCCATTCCTGCTTATAAATAAAACACAAGCATTGATTTCTTCGAAACTGGTCTAGTAATGCTTGTTAAAAATGTGTAAATAAGATATAGTCTCTAATTATTTTTAGAATTGGTACAGGAAAGAAGGTAGTGCAGAAAAAAATTACAAGTTCCTTAATTTGCAGACTTGAATAAAAAAAATTGTGGTAGTGTACTGAACTGAGCTTCATAATTGTTGATAAGGAGTAAATTCCCTTACAAAACAGCTTAGCAAATGTAATTTATCAAGAAGATTAGCATAATTATTTTGTGTATTACAACATCACTGAGAAGTCTGGAATTCTCCTACTTTCACTTTTATTTTCAGAGGTTAAGCAGACAAACTCATTTTGCAGGAAAACAAAACTGACATGCCACCTCAAGATATTAACCAAGGAAAGAGAACTTGATGTGGTAAATGAGGGACATTGCTATGTGAAGAAATGTTAACAATGATGCCTGTGGGAAAACAATTAGTGAACTGTACCTAACTTCATTATAAACACAGATGAGTTTTACCGTCATCAATTAAAAATGAAATGTGCTTAAACTGATAAATGCTCATAATTGACGTAACACCTCACAAAATTTGGTATCATTTTTATAATCAATGTCTACCTGAAGAGAGTAATATAGGGTTGTGAAGCTAGCGATAGGGTTCTCCTTGACAAAGGTCAGGAAGAGTTCAGACGGTGGGGTGGAGCTGAGGGGTGGTTCCTCAGGTAACTTGGTCATCAGCACCCTAGCATGATCCTCCACCATCAATGAAGAAATCATTGGTAAAAACTTGGTGAACAATGATGACTCCTGTGATGTAAAATCAAAAATATTGGTCTAAAGTTCACAGTTGTTCAAAATCTGCACAATCAATGAAGAAATGATGGATATAACAAAACTGCTGATCAAACATACATTCAACCATCCACACAGGCTTATATCGGTCACTGTACATCTTAGTACAACCAGTCACACAGACTGATATCAGACATCATATATCTCATTACAACCAGTCATACAGGCTGATATCAGACATCGTACATCTCAGTACAACCAGCCACACAGACTGATATCAGCAATCGTACATCTTAGTACAACCAGTCATACAGACTGATATCAGCCATAGTACATGTCAGTACAACCAGCCATACAGGCTGATATCAGCCATCATACATCTCAGTACAACCAGCCATACAGGCTGATATCAGCCATCATACATCTCAGTACAACAAGTCACACAGGCTGATATCATCCATATTGACCAGTCACACAGGCTGATATCAGCCATATTGACAAGTCACACAGACTGATATCAGCCATATTGACCAGTCACACAGGCTGATATCAGCCATATTGACAAGTCACACAGACTGATATCAGCCATATTGACCAGTCACACAGGCTGATATCAGTCATTTGATCAGTCACACAGGCTGATATTAGCCATATTGACCAGTCACATAGGCTGACATCAGCCATATTGACCAGTAACACAAGCTGATATCAGCCATACTGACCAGTCACACAGACTGATATCAGCCATATTGACCAGTCAAACAGACTGATGTCAGCCATATTTACCAGTGACACAGACTGATATCAGCCATATTGACCAGTCACACAGCGATATGCCTCTTACCAGTTTGGGTTCTCTGAACAGCTGGCTGTCAATCATATCCCAGGAACCCAGCCCCAACCCCATCATCCTCACCAACAGGACTATCTCAGAACTCTCCTAAAAAATCAAAGTCATGATTACAAATACTTCTTTCAAGCAAAATACCATGAAATTTGCTGACACTTACACATGTATTTAATGTCTACATCAGTTAAATACAGAAAACCATCTTATATTTGTATGTAAGAAATGTCTGCAACCTTCGTTTACTCATTAATATTTCTCAACACAAACTATTTATTTCAATGTGTATTTATGATAAATAAGTCCTCAGTTGCAAAATAAGTCATTGCAGATTGATTTCACAAATAATAGTTTGTTTACAATAATTGAAAGTTACACATATATTTATTGCAGTTTTACATTCATAGTTTTAGTTAGAAAAATGTTTTAATATTCATTGATTATTGAAAAATGGGGAGAGGGAAGGTGTAAATCAGTTGACAAACCCTGGGTAGGACTTCACTGTTGATGCAGTGTTGTAAATTACGCATCATTGAGAGACCAACTGTGTTCATAGAGAATGGATCACAGAGCACCATGGATAAATCACTGAAAAAAAATCTCTATAGGACAATCATTGTAAAAAGATTCTTACATTCATACACAACATTCTACTTATTTGTTAATAATTTTTAAATTAAATGTACTTGATCATTTACATATAACAAAGAAATGTCCACGACATATTTAAATTTCACATTGATCTGTCACATGACTTACAATTAATTGGTGCCTAAAATGACAATGTACATATTAAAACAATTTACTTTACAATAAGTAAATGTCTGAAGACAAGAAATTTTGTGACTGTGATACCCTAGAACAAACTCTTGTCCTCTTCGTATTCCATCCAGAAATCCCTGAAGCTCCCTAGATCTCTTGCTATCAATGAATTTATCCCTTATGCAAGCATCAACACACCACGTAAATTTATGACAAGGGTCAATAGAACAGATATCGTTGACCTCCTGGTCATGTAAAGCCATTAGAAGTTCTGCCCTTAGTGTACAATAATGCATATTTCTTGTCCTAAGAAAGAGAGTTCTCAAAAACTGCAAGACCATGTCATACAATTTAACATTTTTGCCAACCATATCAGCAAGTCTTTGTACAACTTCACTCTGCCTTCTTAATTTTGGTGATGCTAAGAAGAAAGTCTGGGAACTGTTTTCATGGGAGAACAGAGAATTCTCTTTTTCTTTGATGTACTGAGATAATAACGGAGAAACTTCATCTCCAAACAAAGCCTGATTATCGGACCAAATTTGTCTCTTCACTTCAGTGGCTGCCTCGGCATACAGCTCTTTATCCTCTAATATTTTTTCTAAATATTCATCCTTGATTTTTGGCAGATGTTTTAGGATAGCCATTACAACAGGTCTGAGACTCTTAACTTTAATTACAGGAAAACTCTTTTCCAAAAGGCTCTCTAGCTTTTTATATCTTTCTTCATCTTCTCCCGATGCTACATCAGAAATCTGCTGTACTAGTCTCTCTCTTAACTCCTCCAGAACTGAAGAATGAAAATCAAGGCGTTTAATATCATGTAAATCTACAAAGGGCAATGCAGGTCTTAATGATGGTAACAAAATTCCATTGTCCGTTTGGAACTCCTCTATCGCAGCGAGAGGGTCGGCGCAGTTTGTAAGAGACTCCCGAAGAAATTCTCCCCCCGGGATACCAAGTTCTTCCAGACCAGCCATAATTCGCACAATGCGATGTACGTTTATGAAAATTCTAAATCTAATTCCATTACTCGAAAGCCGGATAGGAAAAACAAATTTTGTTTAGAAAAAAATTATCTCCTAACATTGGAGAGCTCTATTCAACTGTTCAAGAGACATAACTGTCATTTAAAGACGCACCTGAAAGTAATGTCCATTTTTCATGACGTATATTTTTAATACATGTACATCTACTATCACATAGACAAAGAGTAAAAATACTCTAGAGAAATGAGGGTGACACATGCCTTATTTCTTACTGAAAGCCATTTAAACTTGACCTTTTTGCACTTAGAAAAAAAGGTTTGAATTTTTTTGTGTTTAATTTAATTGCAAAACAAATATACCTCTCCCACTATATATATATATATATATATATATATATATATATATATATATATATATATATATATATATATATATATATATATATATATATATATATATATATATATATATATATATATATATATATAAACATACACAATATACAATACATATTCAGTAAGAGTTAGTTAATAAAAAGACATTTCCACTTGGACCGTCTATTTTTATAAAATGTATTTTCTGGCAATTTTTCTTCTAAAGTATAGTAATATTTAAATATTTTGGAATATCATTAAAAACAATATTGTTTTTTTTTCTTGTTGAAATAGGTATTTCTTCACTAACAGGATTACCATGTGCTCTTTTTCCAGATAACCAAAAAATAACAGTTTGACATCAAATTCAATTCTTATACCAGACTTTTGAAAATTCCAATTTGACAATGTGAGCCAAATCATAGAAACCCGTAGACAGTTAGAAAAATATATGCCTAATTGATTCTGGCTCTAATTTACATATTGAACAATTTAAAGTGGAGAATTTTTAATTTTAGACAAATATAAGTACTTATTAGTACCTAATATTCTATGGATATTGATTTAAACAACTGCTGTTTCAAAACAAAAAAATTACAAGCATTACAATACGATTTATGTACATGAATACTCAAAGATAGTATTGATCTTTTAATAGTTTTGGTCAAGAAAAATCATCTCATACATGTGACGGAGTTGTACAATCACAACTGGAGATTTGAACATTTTCAGCTGGAGTTTGGGTCTCAAAACTGAAGATTTTTTTAATCGACATTACATCACGAAAGACCATCATACCCCTTTGGTTTTCCAAATAAACCAGCTCATTTAAATCAAGAAATAACAATTACATTAAAAATTGGTTAAAATTTAGTTTTGATTTGCAGGCCCGTAGGAAGTAATTTCAGTTGGGGAGGGGGAGGCAAAACCATATATTTCCAGGGGGGGGGGACTATCAACTACCAAAAATTCCTTGACAAAAAAAAAGTCATCAGACGTTATTATTGAGAGGACTCAAGCATATAGTAGCTATTTTTTTTCTACATATCAGCAAAATTATTTGGGTGGGGGCACGGCCCCCGTGCCCCCGATTCCTACAGCCATGATTTGGTACCGATATATCAACTTGTGAATAAAGTAAAACATAGATTTATGTAATAAATTATGTCAGTAATTTGTTTATAAATGGAAATGTTATTGTCAAATATGCATAGATAAAATGAAAATACGCTAAAAAAATACAACAAATTAAAGTCAGCTATATTTTTGTTGTTTAGAGATTTAGCAACGCCCTGGAATGTGATTTTTTTTTAACTAGAGTGTGACATACACTATAATTTTTAAATGACCACTGCAGATGGGTATTTTAGCAACTAATTAATTCCAATGCTCTGCATTCAATCATAAACATCGATGGTCAACTACCAAGTGTTATATCAATTATTTTTCCAATTTATGTATACAACTAGCTCATGTAGATCCCTACGAAGCCTAACTGCTGTGAAAATTTATCGCACTGGAACACAAGTGCTTTGGGACGGGACCCCCCCCCCCCCTCCCCCAACACTTGAGTTCTCTTTTTGTATCAGATGGTGTGAATTTTTATAAAAGGTTAGTTTGAGGTTATATGTTGATATTTTGTGATTTTTTAAACTGTAATACTTTGTGAATGTGGGAAAGAAAAATAATTTATATAAAAAGTCTGAGAACCTTGGGGTACGGAACGAGGGGGGAGGGTCCGTCCCAAGCACCTGTGATCACATGCATGTCATCTTTGAAGCCTAGAATATGAATCGTGACCTTTTTGCACTTCAAAATAAGAAAGTGTATGTTTCTAAAATTCAGTGAAGGAGTAATGCCATTTTAAAAATTTCTGCATGAATATTATTGCTATCTTTTATTTTGTATATCTAGAACAAAAACATGGGGTCACATTTCATTTTCTCAAATTATGGAGGATATAAATAAATTTTAATGAAAAATTGAACTGATTTTTCGAGACTTTTTGTGAATGTAAGACTGGTGTATTTTGATAAAACATTAATTGGTTTATTTTTAAAGTCGATAAACTAGAGTTAAGTCTCTACTCTTAGTCTGATGTCTGAAAAATAGCTGTGCATAACAGGGGCGTCAGCAAGTATTTGTCATTAATTGGGAGGCGAACTGGATCGAAAAGGGGGGGGGGGTAATCAACTTTTTGTGACATAAACTATATAATTATAATTTCCGTCACAATCTTGATATTTTTCCCATTAAGTCAATAGCCTAGAAGTATTTTCTGATTAAAAAAGAGCAATTAAACATAACAAGCAATCAAAAACAAATGTTTTATGTTTTTAAAGTCACATGTACTATGAATAAAAACAAAACCGGAATATTTTTACTTTCGAAACCTAGAAGGGTCAAATTAGAAAAATGGGGAAAAAAAAATAGAAGTCGTAATAACGACTTTTTATCTCGTTATTTCGACTTTTGTTACGGTGTAATATACGACTTTTCGGACTTATTGTATATTACTGTGTTAATTAACTTTTCGGACTTTGCATAAATTGTTATATAAACTTTTCGTGTATTTCGGCAAATGTGACAAATTCTATAAATTCCGCACAACCTTAATCCTACCTGAGGCACAGTCAGAGATGGACAGTTAATCTCCTAATTGACTTCTATTTATATTTATTGACACTTAATCTTTCATCTACTTTTATTCTATTATATACATGCCGCTAATATGTAATTTGTACAAGCCTTGATTTTGTATAGTCATCATCAGAGAGAGGTGCAATTTTTACTTCCTTTGCAAAAATCTAAATAATCTGTACTTCCGGTCAAATTGACACACTAGTGTAAGGAATATATTTAGGATATATCCTACACGATGAAAATAGAAAGATCAATAGCCTTATAACAAAATAAAATAAAAAAAACAACAACAAATTAACAATCTTTTTCGAAAATAGATTGTCATACAAAGAATTGCATCCATTTGCCGTACATGTATATTTACTCATTAGAGATTTCAATAAAATTGCATCATTATTTTCCATTAAAATTCTGGAAGAAAAATGATCATATCAAACATATTAAACTGATCATGATTACCCCTTTCACTGTAATACATTGAATTCATGTGTCTTGTTAATAAAATCTATGAAATATTAAAAGTTATACCGATATGTAATAAATAAAGTCAATACGGAACAAATAAAAAATAAATATTGATAAATAAATATTGATTAAAATTAAAATTTCGGAATACAGTTAAAGCAAAATCAAACATTTGAACTTATTAGCTTTCTTTATCTTTTCAATATGTTTAATTATTAGGTGCTTTTAGTTGAGTAGCAGCATGTAATATCTGCATTTAGGAAACTTACGAAAAATTAGGGATGTCTATGAATAGTCGACTATTCGACCATCAGTCGAACGGACCGACGATCGAATAATGAAACGACATTCGAATATTATTATAATTAAACAAGCTTATCTTTTAAAAAGATTGGTGAGCTAGCGCTGTAGCATAATAAAATACAGAAGAAGATATCCCAACCATTTGTTGAATTTGCTGAATCGATTAATTATTAATAGGAAGGCAGATTGGTGGTTGAGTTTGGGGGGGGGGGTCACAATTCAGAATGGTGGATCTAAGAGTGTGCTTCACGTCGGCAATGGCACAACTCCTAACTGTGCTTTAAGCATTCTGTATTTTACTGTAATTTCAATTTCGAGGTGAAAAATAAAAGGTCAGTAGAACCAATGAGCACCTTCTGGCCTTTCCGGCAAGCTCGGAAAACATATCCGAGGTTGCCGCGGTTTTTCGAGCTTGCCGGAAAGATCTATGAAGGTAGATTAGAAAAGCTATGTATTCATTACAACTTTAGAAATAACAGTCTTGGTTTTATAAGACCCGAGTTACTGTTACTTTTTGTTCATTTACGTGCAGGTTAGACAACAGAACACGAAACTTCAGATCATATGTATTTTCAGATGATAAACACTAAATTGCCATGTCTTTCCGACATACTCTGAAAAAGATTTTTGTTTTTGTTTTTTCCGAGCTTGCCGGAATTATCCACTAAGATGGTAAAACTGTAAGGAAAGCTAGATGTCTAGAATCTTGGCATTATATGGGCAAATTTTTTCTTGTACTTTTATGTGTAGGTTAGACAATAAATTTAAAAAAAAATTGAGAATCCGGATCTAGACTGGTATTGACTGTCTCTAACCTACGAAATGTATATCGCGCATATCAGACAGGAAAGGCCAGTGTAAATTCGGATCATTTCTATTTTTGTATGACAAAACGAAATTGTTATCGTACAGTCTATCTACAGTAGTTTTCCCAGAATGCCCGTGAAGTCGAGCATGCGTATTTCAGAAATATAGACTAACGTAGTTGCTAGCGCTCTCGAGCAATGCAATCGAATAATCGACTAAGGAAAATAAATATTTTGACATCCCTACGAAAAATACATCAAACACAGGAAACAAAACAGGAAATAAATTTTAATTTGTTCTTTAGAAAATATGACATGTGCAATGTCTTCATACGCAACAAAATAAAATAAATAAACTTGACAATATTAAATCACGGAATTAAACAATCAGTCATTCAATCTAAATGCCTGAAATTACTGGTAATCTATAAACTCGGAACGTTTTC